ATGCAAATACAATCTTATTGTACAAGTGAAACAATAGAGACATTAAAGAGATCTTATTTGTTTGTGTTTTTTTGGTAACACTTTATTTTGATGGTCCCTTTTGAACATTAGGTTGACTATAAGTAACTTTGCAACTATATTCTAACTCTAACCCTACCAGTCTACTAATACTCTACTAATACTCTAATGCTACTCTACTAATACTCTACTAATACTCTAATGCTACTCTACTAATACTCTACTAATACTCTACTAATGCTCTACTGATACTCTAGTAATACTCTACTAATACTCTACTAATGCTCTACTGATACTCTACTAATACTCTACTAATACTCTACTAATGCTCTACTGATACTCTACTAATACTCTACTAATACTCTACCAATACTCTACTAATACTCTAATGCTACTCTACTAATACTCTACTAATACTCTAATGCTACTCTACTAATACTCTACTAATGCTCTACCAATACTCTACTAATACCCTACTAATACTCTACTAATACTCTACTAATGCTCTACTGATACTCTACTAATACTCTACTAATACTCTACCAATACTCTACTAATACTCTAATGCTACTCTACTAATACTCTACTAATACTCTACTGATACTCTAGTAATACTCTACTAATACTCTACTAATACTCTACTAATACTCTAATGCTACTCTACTAATACTCTACTAATACCCTACTAATACTCTACTAATACTCTACTAATACTCTACTAATACTCTACTAATGCTCTACTGATACTCTACTAATACTCTACTAATACTCTACTGATACTCTACTAATACTCTACTAATACTCTACTAATACTCTACTAATGCTCTACTAATACTCTACTAATACTCTACTAATGCTCTACTGATACTCTACTAATACTCTACCAATACTCTACTAATACTCTACTAATACTCTAATGCTACTCTACTAATACTCTACTAATGCTCTACCAATACTCTACTAATACCCTACTAATACTCTACTAATACTCTACTAATGCTCTACTGATACTCTACTAATGCTCTACTGATACTCTACTAATACTCTACCAATACTCTACTAATACTCTACTGATACTCTAATGCTACTCTACTAATACTCTAATAATACCCTACTAATACCCTACTAATACTCTACTAATACTCTACCAATACTCTACTAATACTCTAATAATACCCTACTAATACCCTAATACCCTACTAATACTCTACTAATACTCTACCAATACTCTAATAATACCCTACTAATACTCTACTAATACTATACTAATACTCTACTAATACGCTACTAATACTCTACTAATGCTTTAATAATACTCTAATAAAACTCTAATAATACTCTACTAATACTCTACTCTACTAATACTCTACTAATACTCTATTAATACTCTACTAATACTCTACTCTACTAATACTCTATTAATACTCTACTAATACTCTACTAATACTTTATTAATACTCTAATAATACTCTGATAATACTCTAATGAGAGTTAGTTGACATGTAGGTGCAATGTTACTTATAGTCAACAGAATGTGTTAAAGGGACCATCAAAATAAAGTGAAACCACTGTTTTTTACCGTTTGGTTCCTCGTGTGTGTTTGTCTTCTCTGGAGTTGCAGGTGCAGACCACAGCTGGCGTGACACATACACAGCCGTATGATGAACCACATGAATCATAACCGCTCCTTGCTAAGTTAACAAAGCTGCTGCTGTTTCCACTGGCCTCTCGGTTTCTTTTAAGGAGATAATGAAAGTATTCAAATGTTTTTTACGAAAAAGTTTGCAGAAGCCTAAAAGATGTAGTTTAACAACTTTAGAATAGCAGTCAAGAATTTGGACACACTTTACTATACTAAGTATCTAAAGTCTAACACTTAAGGTTTCGTTTAACATTAGTTAACATCAGGACTTGACATTAACACGCGAAATGTGTGTGTATTTCAGCAGTGGTGTTTAACACAGTCACTCCTACTAGCCACTTTGGTGGGTTAATTTTATATATAATACTGTATATACAATTTTAAATTGTAGTCTTTTAAAAAGGCATCTGAAATATTAAACTAAGTGCAATTTAGTGTTGTCAAAAATATCGATTTTTTGATGCATATCGATACTGAAAAATCTGAAACGCTTCTGATACTCATATCCCGCAGAATAGATACACAATACCAGCTCACTTTCTCTCTCATCTCTCATCTCTCTGACAGCGAGTTTCAGTTGCTCCGGATCAATATTGTTGCGGTTACAGGGCTTACATTTCGTCATGGGATTGCGTGTATTGCGCATAATTTTACCCATTCCCGCAGATGTTGTGCTCAGATTGCAAGTGCGGCACATAAAGCGCCTCTTTTAGGACTAAATTGAGTTCTTTTCGCTGCTTATTGCGATTAAACATTCAAATACACACAACATAATGTCAAAATGCCGGTCTTGGCGAGTATTCACGTAAACACAGTCAGTTATGTTTTAAGTGAACGTAAACCGTTGAGAAAGAAAACGCATGTGTAACAGTGTAATGGATCCGTGCGTCAGGTCTTAAAGTGACAGCAGCCTAATATACCGGCTGCCAAATTATGAGATGATATTAAATATATCTATATGGCAGTTTCTCCTCATGGTATTGATGTAAAAATTGTGGCCAGTGAAAATGCTGAGTGGCTCGTAACTTTGGAAAACCACTACCCATTAATCTTAATTATGTTAATTTCAACATTTACCAATAGTTGGGGGCATTAGCACATTTTCGCGCAAATTCATCTAAAAGCGCCAAATTTGGCGGAGCCAAGATGGCGGCCAAATCCAATATGGCCGCTGCCCGAAAGGATTCCGGGTATAACTTTTGAACCACATGAGTTACAAATACAAACTTGATATGTTTTTCAGCTTAATTGATCATGGGAAACACATAGGAATGTTTATATTTATGACCCAGTATATCTGGACCCCTTGATCCTCCAATTCCAATATGGCCGCTGTCCAAAAAAGCATTTTGGGCTGTAGTATGGCTGCCTTACAGTAAATGGGACATTGTTTGCGCAAATTCATCTACAAGCACCAAATTTGGCACAGATGTAACTGAGGAGGGCATACTGAAATGATTTAGCCAGGGCGCCCGAGCCAATGGTCCCTGAGACCAAGATGGCGGCCAAATCCAATATGGCCGCCGCCTGAAAGGGATTCGGCTATAGCTTTTGAGCCAGATGAGATACAAATACAAACTTGATGTCGATTTTACCTTTTTTGACCATGGGAAACCCATAGGAATACTTACATTTATGATTGTGTATATCAAGAAGACTGGTAAGACTGAAGCCAAAACGCTTTTTCGGGCGGGATTCATATTGGATTTGGCCGCCATCTTGGCCCCGAGGGTCGCTGGCTCCGGTGCCCTAGCTAAATCATTTCGGTATGACCTGTGCTAAATCTGTGGCAAATTTGGCGCTTTTAGATGAATTTGCGCGAAATAACCTATTTATGTGCTTAAGGCCCCCAACTATAATACTTTATTAAAATCAAATGTTGTATCTGTTATTATTTAATGAACCTGAGCTGACATGAACTCACAACGAATATTGATTAACAATGAGCAATACATTTGTTCCAGTATTTATAAATGCATTGACTAACGTTAACTAATGGGACCTTGTGTTAAAGTATTACCATCTTCTTTAATGCATGAGATTAGTTTTGTATATGAATATAAATTGTAAATAGAATAAATGTCCAAACTTCTTGCGTATTTACAACTATAAAACAGATATATTTAGATCTAGACGTTAATTGGTTAATACAGAATTCCACTCACTCTAAAATATACACAATAATGCTATAAAAAGTGGCTATATTTCTCAAGTTGCTCTTAAAAAACCATATATCTTGATTTGAAAAGGAAGAAGAGCAGTGTGCAGATACATTTAGCAGGATTAAAGACAAGACGGGGGAAAAAACTAGAGCTGTAATCGCAGCCCACACACACGCAAACACACACACACACACACACACTGAGATGTTAGCTTTGGTTTTGCCACACACGTAGAACATCGACTGAACTCTGTGACTCAATAACTCTGCGTGAATTGGTTGGTTTGAGAATATTAGGGGTCCCGAAGTCTCACACAAACACACACTTGAGTCCCGGTGACTGTGGACTCCCTCTTGCCGGGGCCTTTGTGGTCTTTTGGATGTTCAGTGGTGGGATTAAACTCTCTCGCCACCCAGAGCACTTGTATGACGCCTGGTCCTACTTTAGCTCTTTTTGTCCGTCTTGAATGGAAAGACTGCAAACACACCTCGTCACCAGAAAGCCCTCTCGAGCGGACTACGCTTTCACGTGCTGCTACAGGCGTGTTTGTTTTCCTGCATTTGCTGAAACCCGACGTTTTGTGCAGGATTAGGGGAAAAACGAACCGAGCGTGAACTTCAATAGACGCCTTAGAAAATACTCAGAAATTCTTAAATATGTCACGTCTGACGTTTCCACGGACCCTTTTTGTAATGTGATGTGTATTTGGTGTTTCCAAAATGTAAATAAACCATATTGTGTCTAATGTCTGGTCAAGATAGACGTAAACAAATATAATTTTTTACTTTTCGGTAGAAAACGAATGGTTTTTGCCCATGCATGCTAAATTAGCCAGTTTGTAGTTTGCCAGAATATTTTTATTTGGTTGCCAGGATGTTCTGTGTGTGTGTGTTTTTTTTTTTTAGCCATTTCTTTATGGTTGCTAAGATGTTCTGGGTGTTTTTTAAAGAGATGTGATAGTATTATAGGAGCTAGGGTTTGCCAGGGCATTTCTAGGCCGTTGCAAAAGCATTCAAAGTGAATTTTTAGTAAATTGCAAGTTGTTCTGAATGTGGTTTTATACAGTAGTATGTTGAAGCGGTGTTTTCCTACTGTCTCGTCTTTGTTGCTTTGTCCATTTTAGTTCATCTTAGCAAAGATCATTAAAACTGATGACCGTGACACTGTTTTTCTCTTAGGTTACGGTGACTACGATAGGCTACGGAGACAAAGTCCCTCAGACGTGGATTGGGAAGGCCATTGCCTCCTGCTTTAGCGTGTTTGCCATCTCCTTCTTTGCTCTGCCTGCGGTAAACACACTGACTGCTGTCTTTCTCTTTTTTACACACACACACACACACACACACATTCTCTGCGCTTGTCTGGTGCCCCGGGGCAGTGTTTTCCTATGGAGGCCCTTCAGTAATGGGGTCTGGGGTTAATGTGGTCCATTTAAGAGTGATAGGGCCTCCAGGGGCCTCAGGGGCCCGCGGTCCTCATGTTACACATTATATAACATGCATCTGCAAAATTTGAATCAAACACAACTACTGCATTAAAAAAAAAAAAAAGTGTATACTGTATATAATAAAAATTAATATAACATTATGTAAATATAAATTGTATAATTTTAAATGAATATATAATCCGAATTTTTTTTTATTCAATAATAAATTAATAAAAATATAATTATGTATATATATAAATTAATATAAAATAAATAAATATAAAATTATGTAATTATAATAAAGTATACATTATATATAATTTTAAATGAATATAGGCTATAATCAATAAATTAATAATACAATAAATTATATAATAATTATATAATAATGCTTCTATAATAAATTCATACAAATTTACATTTTATATATATATATATATATATATATATACTTTTACATTAATATATTATTAATAAATAAATTAATAATAAAATAAATTATGTAATACTTCTATAGTAAATTCATAAAAATATAAATAATATATTTATACATTATACAACATATATAATACATTAATATAAAAATATGTTAAACTATATAACTAAATTCTAATTGGTATAAAACTCTATCAACATCATTCATGAATATCACATATTTATTGTGCTTTTATTTTGTAACCGTACAATGGTAATGTTTAATTTTTTTACTTTTATGGCAAGTTTTTCCATTTAGTTTATTTATTTTGTAGTAGCCGATTGTCTGAACTGTGTTCCTCTGTGTGCAGGGCATTCTGGGATCGGGCTTTGCTCTTAAAGTCCAGCAGAAACAGAGACAGAAACACTTTAACCGGCAGATTCCCGCCGCAGCCTCTCTCATACAGGTGACAATCCACTTCTCCTTCAACGGTCACAACACGTTCCCTGATCATTTCTCTCCTCATATACTTTATAAAACGGTTAGTTCCAGTCCTTGATTCTGATTGGTCAATAGCTGTGTTTTATTCACGACCGCTTCACCCAACTGTTCTATGATCACTACACAACACCCCTAGCAACCACTCTTAGCAACGTAAACATATGTTTGTTCTCATTGATATTGTTCATTGAAGAGATCGAGTAAGTGAGTGTGTGTACCTGCATTTACAGTAGATTTAGCATCTTCCTTCAGGTCATCAAATATTCGTAATAAAAAATCAGTTTGAATGTCCGCTGTGATATCTTGTCCTTTTAACAGTTAAGGGGTTTTCCGTGCGCTAGTCATTTGTCAGTTTTGTCTTGCTTCTCCTTGTTCACAAGTTTGTCCTTTCAATATAAAAGTCTTCTCTACTGACTGACTCACTCATAAAGACACTCTTTGCCGCAGTCTAACAGCAAAATAATGTAACGTAACTTCGGTTGCTGTTCAAGATCAGGGACTATTTTTTCCAGCGGAAGGAATGCTTTTAGTGATTTTACACTTCATGAAAGTTGCATAGATGCATATTTTTAGGCTTTAAAATTTCGATTGTGTGGTAACCGTTTTATAAAAGCAACAAGGTACTCGAGGCTTATCGTGGATAAGTCACGGATGAAGGTGTTACTCCGCCCTTCAGCCGTGACTTATTCACGATACAGCACTCCTCTCGTACCTTATTGCGTTCATATATGTAACTCAGACGCTGTGGAGATGCTACGCTTGCGAGAAGGCCAACGGGTGTACGGCCACGTGGAAGATGTACGTGCTGACGGGCGACTACATTCCCATCATACACTCGGAAAACTCCAGTCCGGGCAACTTCAGACGGCTGGTGAGGAAACACACACTCCCTGTTTGCAAACGGATATTTCTCTGTCTTGTCTTTCAAACCCTTTGTGTTGTTTTTCGGTCATTGTCACGTTCCTTCCTGTCGATTGTCCCGACTGAGCCTCCATAGCGGGACACTGCAAAGCCCAGACAGTGCAAGCATTTTTCTAGAGGGGCTTATTGTGCGTTAAGTCCTTTCTATAGGCTCATGTGAATTTCCCAGAATGCATGTAAAGGCCTCTGCAGGGCGTAGGTGAACAGGAGAGGCTTTAGATGGCGTTAGATTAACATTGGACAGTAGTAAAAGACTTTTTAGCTTGTCCAGTAACAGACTATTTTCCACATGGCTACCCTGCTGGGTTTTTTTGTGCCAAGTGTTATATTTGTCGTTTACTTGTAGAAATGGGTTCATTTGGATGGTTCCTAATATTTTTAATACACATTCCTGGTTTGAAATATGTCAGTGTTGAAATAAAATGTGTTGTGAATGCTACTTCATTTTGCCTTCAAATGCACTTTTCCAGCTACTTTTTAGAGTTGTGAAGATCAGTTTGTTTTATTGAATCAGTTCATTTTGGGTTGTTCATATAAATTAACTGATTTAGAAAACGATTCACTGATTCAGCATATACATATTTATTTAAATACTGCTTTTAATGACCATAATCATAAATGTTTCTTGAGCTGCAAATCATCATATTAGAGTGATTTCTGAAGGATCATGTGACACTGAAGACTGGAGTAATGATGCTGAAAATTCAGCTTTGACATCACTAAAATAAATTACACTTTACTATATATTCACATAGAAAACAGTTATTTTAAATTGAAATAATATTTCACAATATTATTGATTTTTAGATTATCTATTGGAAATCGATTCTAAATACAAAAAATACAAGGAAGTGAAAAAAAAGTTTTTAGTTGTTTTTAGTGTAAATATGTCTGCAAAAAAAAAAAAATAGGTAAGTATTTAAAAAAAAAAAAACTCTTTTAAACCAACTTAAGTTAAATACCTTAAGCCTGTAGTGTAGCAAACTATATTTTATCTCGTTTTTAAACAGCTTGACCGTCGTTTAACTAGTTCAGACGATGAAAAGCTAGTAGTTTAACTTCCCCAACGCTGCATTCGAGTGACTTTTTGCGCGTTTGACACGCAGCCAGAAGCTTTTTGCCATTCAACATTTTAATTAACACACCGATTTAACCCCGCGGTGGATTTCACAGGGCGATTTTCAAGGTGAACTTAAAGGAGATGATGTAGGTTTAGGTGTGAGAAGCGCCGCGAGAGCCCTGATGTCATGGGATGCAGTGGTTTCTCGCTGTCTCTCGCTCACCCGCTTGACCCCCTTTGTCTCTCTCGCACAAAGACTCAGTCAAATGCCATGATGTCATCGCAGCCTCTCTCCTGGGAGCAAAACCTTTGTGTAGCGCAAGAACAACAAAACAATCTTTGTGTAGCTCTGACTCCAAAACATATTGGGTCCAACTCTTTCCGCGCGGGCGTGTGACTGCTCCCGTTCATAAACCTCTCATTCATTCATCCGTCCTGTATTTACTTCATTCAGGCCAGTGGGAAGCCCTGAATGTTGTGTGTGTGTGTGTGTGTGTGTGTGACGTGACTCATATTTTACTCCGGAGGTATTCGCTTGTGTAGGTTGCAAAGTCACCGCAGAATTCATAAATTCACAAAATGCATATTCATGATGCTCTCCAATAAAGGGCAAATTTGAAATTCATATCTGTGGGATTTTTTTGCCCCATGAATCGTATTTTTCAGCTTATCAGCGATTCTTGGGAAGAAACAAAGAGTTACTTGAAACTGCCGAGTCGATTGCTTATCAGATTAAATATGAGATTTAATGTGGCTTTGTTTTTGGGTTTAAGATTCGTACGTCACCGCTCGTCTGAATTACTCTCTGCATGCAATAATGCATAATGGCATTTAAAGAAAAAAAAAATCATTATTTACTCTCCCTTATGGTGCATATGACTTGCTTGCTTTTTTGTAAAATTATTTGAAGAGTATTTGCCATTGTTTTCCATAAAATATGAGGAGGTGAAAAGATAAATTAAAGTGCTTTATTGGTTGTTTTCGGTGTAAATGTTTCTACAAACTAGTGTTATTTTAGTATTATTTATATGTTGTTATAGTATTTATTAATATTTTCGATTGGCTTTTCTATATTTTCAGCTTTCATTTTAATTCTTTTTTTTATAGTAATCTTGTTATGAGCTTTTGTCACTTTTATTAGGTTTAAATTTACTTTTTTTTAAACTTGATTCACCATAGGGGGTCTTTAACTTTAACTTTAAAGTTTATCATTTATCATTGAGTAGTTCAGACAGCCATCCTTTACTCACCTCATCTCGTTCCAAACAGGTAAAGCGCTTTTAAAGAGTATTTGTTATCGTTTTCCATTCACAAAGGGGTAATCCAGCTCTGAAAATGACAAATAAAGGCATCATAAAACTTGTAGTCCATGTAATGTTGTGACTCTTGCCTCCTCAGAGCAAGCGATACAAGCGGAAGCCCAAGGCCGCGCGTGATAACGGTTCTCTGGGTCCCGGAGGAGAACGAGCCATTTCCATCCCGCAAATCACCTACGACCACATCGATGATAAAGACGCGGTCTTCTCAGACGAGTCCTCAGGTAACACGAGCTTGCCTGCTGTTATTCTCTTCTCTAGTACCATTGAAACTGACTTATGTTATCATAGGTCATGTGATACTTCATCAGGGTTAGTTCACCCAAAAATAAAAAAGATCCGCGTTCAGTGCCGCCGCTGACGTAAGACGCCGCTGACGTGTGTCTGGTGTGTGTGTGTGTGTGTGTGTGTGTGTGTGTGTGTGTGTCTGGTGCGCCCGAGCTTCGTTTACAGTCTGAGGGAGACGCACGCTGGAAACTAAACAATCTTCGCAAACATGTCTAAGGATTTCCACACAGAGGAAGACTTGCATTTCTTTGCCCAGCCATATTTATTTGAACCCGAATACACGGACGCACCGGACACACGTCAGCAGCGTCTTACGTCAGCAGCGGCACTGAACGCGGATCCACAACAGAACCGGAATACACACACACACACCAGACACACGTCAGCAGCGTCTTACGTCAGCGGCGGCACTGAACGCGGATCCACAACAGAACCGGAAGACACACACACACACACACACACACACACCAGACACACGTCAGCAGCGTCTTACGTCAGCAGCGGCACTGAACGCGGATCCACAACAGAACCCGAATACACACACACACACACACACACACACACACACACACACACACACCAGACACACGTCAGCAGCGTCTTACGTCAGCAGCGGCACTGAACGCGGATCCACAACAGAACCGGAATACACACACACACACACACACACACACACACACATACTGGTACGGGTGGTTTATAAAGACTTTTTCCCCTAAAAAGTTCCATCCTGGTTTATGGGGACCCACCTTTCCCTTTGTCATAGAGATTAATAAGAAATATTAAACTGCTCCTTAAGGCATGGGGTAAAAATCTGACTGCTCAGAATTTAATTCTAATGAAACAGTCTGGTAATATGAAGACCTGACAAACTAAAGCACTGTAAGGACAGGGCAGGAGTGGGCGTTTCCTGATTTAATTATGATTTATGAGGACTACCCTGGTTTATCTGGACATCACTCACATACATACACACACACACACACCTGACCCTTAATTATGAGGACAACCCCGGTTTATCTGGACATCTCACACATACACACACACACCTAACCCTTAATTATGAGGACTAACCTGGTATAACCTGGACTAACTTTACCCATGAGAGTGCCGCATCACTTAAGTTTGTTTCAATACCAGCATATAGAAAAACAAAACAAGAAATGATCAGCAATTGTTCAACCTGGCTTAAACTTTAAGAGAGATTTCAGAAAACTAACCTGAGTTTGTAATGTGAGATTTAGCAGGTGTGAAGTGAGTGAAGAGCAAAGAGAGAAGAGGGAAAGTGAAATACGGAAATATTTTAGCTTTAAAAATTAAGAAATTAAAAAACCAAAAGGAGAGTTTACTATTTAACCATCACTGACAAATGCATTCACCCACAAGTATTTTTCATAATTGAACCTTGAATGTCAGTCTTAATTTATTAATTAGATTTTAAGAAGTTTTGTCTAAAGATAGTTTTGAATAAAGCTAAATATTTCCAGTTGATTGGGTTTGGGTTTTGTTAATGTGAAAAGAGAAGATTGTTCAAGACTTGCTATTAGTATCTAAATGAACATTGCTGACCATTTGGGTTTAACTGGACATCAGTAACCATATGAATCATGCATACACACACACAAACACCTGACTAACCCTTGATTATGAGGACATTTTGGGTTTAACTGGACCTCACCTCACACACACTCTCAAACACCTAACTAACCCTTGATTATGAGGACATTTTGGGTTTAACTGGACCTCACCTCACACACACTCTCAAACACCTAACTAACCCTTGATTATGAGGACATTTTGGGTTTAACTGGACCTCACCTCACACACACTCTCAAACACCTAACTAACCCTTGATTATGAGGACATTTTGGGTTTAACTGGACCTCACTCACACACACACTCAAACACACACAAACACCTAACTAACCCTTGATTATGAGGACATTTTGGGTTTAACTGGACCTCACAAACACACACAAACACCTGACTAACCCTTGATTATGAGGACATTTTGGGTTTAACTGGACCTCACTCACACACACTCTCAAACACACACAAACACCTAACTAACCCTTGATTATGAGGACATTTTGGGTTTAACTGGACCTCACTCACACACACACTCTCAAACACCTAACTAACCCTTGATTATGAGGACATTTTGGGTTTAACTGGACCTCACTCACACACACACTCTCAAACACACACAAACACCTAACTAACCCTTGATTATGAGGACATTTTGGGTTTAACTGGACCTCACAAACACACACAAACACCTGACTAACCCTTGATTATGAGGACATTTTGGGTTTAACTGGACCTCTCAAACACACACAAACACCTGACTAACCCTTGATTATGAGGACATTTTGGGTTTAACTGGACCTCTCAAACACACACAAACACCTGACTAATCCTTGATTATGAGGACAAACTGGGTTTAAATGGACATCACTATTAACTCCACACATAGCAGGAGTACCTGTATTAGAGTTAACCATACTAAACCAAATCAACTATTCTACATTAAAGAGTGAATTCACAAATGATTGTGCATCTTTTTGCTGCCACTAAACCTGTAAAAGTAATACGCACACCTAAGGAAATAGTGCTACAATGTGCTGTTGCTATATCAACCAACATATACACATGTGGTGCAAAATGAACCTGGTTGGAGAAAATTCAGTGATCAAAGATCAGCAAGTTTTACACTTCATAGAAGACTAGTTAAAGGGCAATTAGATGTTAAAGGGCAATTAGATGAAGAAATGCAACTAGACAGCCAATAAAAACTAACAAAATTAAACTGAAAGGGCAATTTTTATTTTGCAAATGGTAAAAAAAGGCTCAACAACTGAGATCTAATAAGGCCATTATTAGAGATGCACCGATTGATCGGCTTGGGACCGGAATTGGACGATTTTCACGTGATCGGCCATGACCGGCGATCGGCCGGTCAGTCTGACATATGCCGATTTTATACCGGTCAAACGCACTCGGGCGCCGCATGATTAACATCAGCATCACACGTGCACACGGAACGCACATGTAGAAAACCTCGTGAATTACGGCCGTTTCACACCGCAAGCGTGAGAGGCGTGTATTTTTTTCAGCGTGCATGTTAATCAGTGAATGCATCACACTGGGAGCGGGAGCAGAGCGTCAAGCAGGAGCGTCGCGTGAGCAGCAGTGAAGCGGTTTCGGCACAGAGTCTATTTTTGCTGCGCTGCTCACACTCAATTAAAGTGAAAGCACACTTTTTTTGATGGGCAAAATAAATATGATTTCACACAAAAAGTGGCCAAAATGCACAATTTGCATGTCTAGTGTGTTTTAACAAGAACTGGAGTAGGCTATGTCAGAAAAGAAAATGAAGAAGACTCAAACATATTTATAGAAAATTCACCCATTTAAACTTGTTTTTATTATTCAGTTTGGGTAGAAGTATATGGTGTTTTATAAAAATAAAAAAATAGAAAATAAATATTTGTGTGTGCTGTAAAGTGGTTAGAAAAAATGAAATCGGAATCGGCTAAAATCGGTATCGGCAGGTCAAACTCGGAATCGGCCTAGAAAATTGTAATCGGTGCATCTCTAACCATTATGGGACTAAAGTGCATGAGGGAGTGTGCCTCAAAATGACCTCAGCAACACACTGGAAATAAAACCAAATTAAATTGCCTTCCAGTAAATGCATGTATTTGTACATTTCTTTCAAAACAGTGTTTTAATAAAAGTAAATAAAAGGATGTCTTGAACACTCTTCTGGCCCAACAACACTTTAGAGAACAAAACCCACAGACATTAAAGGTTGTATCAGCGATTTCAGGCCCAAACATAAATGATCACATTCATCTAATCTTTCCTAACGATCCGCTAGCTGGCCGCCCCATAAGTATGCCGTCCAAAAAACGCTTCTCTGTAGGCAGCCTAGGCTCTGAGATCTGCACACAAAAACAATGGGTTTCACCAACCACTCAAAACCAAAATAAACAGTGTTCCAACCAATCACCGCAAAATCTCAAACCACAACACCCCCACCTTTTGTGTGCAGATCTCAGAGCCTAGGCTGCCTACAGAGACACGGTTTTTGGACGGCATGCTTATGGAGCGGGCAGCTAGCGGAAAATTAGATGAATGTGATCATTTATATTTGGGCCTTTTTTGGGCCTGAAATCGCTGATACAACCTTTAATGGAAGGCGACACTGATCTCTCGAAGAACTCTAAGAAGATTTCTTTTTCAACATCAAACCTCGGTTCCTCACGAAATCCCTTATATTTTGGGCCGTTCTTTCTCTCAGAACAGGGTCCTCTGCAGTCTTGCACTGCTCACACTCTGCCTTTGTTGCAAGGTGTCCCTTTGAAATATGGACTCTGAAATGTTTCATGACAGCATTCACTTCATTTGGGCTCCATGGCCTTTTCGCAATTCTCCTCAATTTGGTCCCTGTAAAACAAACAAACAAACAAACATATACATACACATATGTATACCTATACACCTATATGTATATACATGGAATAACTTTAATATACCCAAATGTTTAAATACCTCTGGAGTTCTCAGTTTCATCCTGATTCATTTGGCTTTTTCCTGAGGGGTAAAAAGCAACAATTAAAATGTATTCCAGCCCTACAATCCAAACAGTTTCGGACCATGTGAAATATCAGCAGATAAGCACACAGGGAAAACTAGTCTCTGGTCCTGTGTAACATGAAAAGGACCACTTTACACTGAATTACTGTGGAAGATAAAAAATAAAATCAACATGTATCCTTTTTCTCAAATAAATATCTAAAATATATGCGCACACACATACCTGTGGAGCTGTCAGCCTCACCCAGGCCCATTTTTGTTTTTTTCTAAGGGAAAAAAAGCAACACACTATTCATCTTCTCTACACGGCAAACAGGTATATAATAATAATTAT